GGACTGAACTCAGGCCCTTGCACTTGCCAGGGAAGTGATTATTCCACTGAGCCATCTCCCCGGCCCTCTCTCTTAAAAATATGAAAACTTATTGGAGAAAAGGAATGGGGCCTAGGAATAGGTCCTGAGAGACAAGAGGGGACCTGAATGGGTTGCCCAACTTACTTTCCTTGTCTGACCACGTGTCTCTTCTGCCCCTGGTAACACACCATTCTACTCTGTTTCGCTGAATCTGACTTTTTTAAAAAATGTATTTGAGGGCTAGGGGGAGAGCTCAGTAGAATAAGCCCTTGCCTGGCAAGGGCAAGGTCCTGAGTTCAATCCCCAGTACTCATACACAAAAATAAATAAATAAATAAATAAATAAATAAATAAATAAATGTATTTGGTACAGGATCTCACTACACAGTTCAGACTCGTAATTATCCTCCTGTTTCAGCCTCCCCATTGCTGAGATTACAGGCATGTACTACCACATCCAGTTTCAGTGGCTGTTGGGCCAGCATGGCATATAATACCAGGGATTGAACCCTTATTCTTGTGTTTGCCAGGCAGGCACTTAGACCACCAAGCTATCTCTCTAGCCCTTAAATATTTTTTTTTAATCTAGTTGCACATCAAGCTACAGGGAACCATCTCAGGTATATGAATAATATAGAAGATTAGGTGAGACAAAGTTTATAGTCTCTCACTATTCAGGATATAGAAAATAACTAGATAAGGCAGGCCAGATAGCTCAGCAGATTAAAGTGCCGGCTTAGGCAGACACAGGTGGGGGGGCAGGGGGAGGGGTGGAGGTGGGGGGGTTGGAGGGTAGGATTTGATCCCTGGCCTGCCCCTGGGTGCTAAAATGATGACTGAGACTGGAAGTGGTGGTACGCCTGTAATCCAGCACTTGGGCGATGGAAGACAGGAAGGATCACTACAAGTCTGATCTGTGTAGTGAGATCCTGTAGGCCCTGTACTAAATACATAAAAAAAAAAAGAAATAAAATAAAGAAAGTAACTAGACATGTCAGACCATTATTTTCATAAAGAGTAAGGCTTGTAAGCTTCATTTTTGTTTCTAACCACAGCAGTGCAATATCTGAGAAGGAATGTTTGTGATACTTTGATCCCAACTTTTGGGATATGTTTAGATACAATTTTCCTAGTTGGGTTCTTGTTCAAAAGTCAATTTCTTTAGTTAAAAATGAAAGACTCTGAGGCAGTAGGATTGCTGGGAATTTAAAGTCAGCCTAGGCTACAAAGTGAGTTTAAGGCCAGCCTGAACTACAGAGACTTTGTCTGAAAAGAACAAAACAAAACAAAAAGGACAACAGGTGTTTTAATAGGTTCCCCCTATGGAGATGTTAGTGAGGAAACAAGGCACTCAGTCAACTTTGCTATGAAAGGTTAAACAGAGTGTACTGGGAATATGTAAATAGGCTACCTAACTCATCCCTTTAGGGGTCAGAAGAAGGGTTCCTGAGGAAGTCAAGTCCACAACGATGCAGGCAGTACCTTGGCAAAGTGGCTAGGAAGTCACTGATTAGAGAGACAGAGGAACTTCCATCTGACTGGAGAAATGAATTGTCAGATGGGACAATGATGACAAAAATAATATATAAGAAGCAGCTGGAGGGACGGAGAGATAGCTCAGCAGAATAAGTGCTTGCCTGGCAAGCGCAGAGTCCTGAGTTCAATCTCTGGTACTGGAAAAAAAAAAAAGAAGCAGCAGCTATAGCCTAAAAGGTCTATAAACAGTGACCTAGAAATTTATTGTCCACTTCTGAGGGTGAACCAAGGCCACAATTATTTAGGGACATATGCAGACCATGAATGGACTGAGCAAATCATGTCTCCCTATTTGTACACCACATCCAAATGCTTGTCTTGCCTGTGAAAACATAAGAGTGCATATTTTGTCTTATATACTTTGCCTGGGTAATTTCATTAAGATCTTTGCTTTTATTTGTTCACTTCACAAGTATTTGTTGAGGATATGTTTCTGGGTGATGGGGTTACAAAGAAGAAAAGACTTGTCTATTCTCAAGCTCTGTCTGGGGAAGACACAAAGAACCAATTCTACTGCAGTTACACAGTTTTAGCCCTGACCTTTCCACTGAGCTCTAGGCTCCTCTTTGTCATTTTCAGTTAGAATGCAAAACACAGATCCTAAACAGAACTTCTAAGTTTTGCTCCAACTCTGGCCTTTCCCATTCCCTTCAGCTGGTTTTATAAGTGATACTATCACAACACTACTTAGGGGCAAAAACTCTGAAAAGCCTTCATCAGTAGTAGCTTTCTTCATACTATGCATTTTAATTTGCATCTTTCCTAAGCAAGCTAAATTGGGGCTCAGAATTAATTCTAAAGAGGGCCAGGGCCAGCCAAATAGCTCAGGGGATTAAAGCGCCTGCAAGCAGGAGCAGGGGCCAGGGGTTTGATCCCTGGGCCTGCCCTGCCAGCCCCGCACCCCCCCTCCCTGACATGCTGAGACAGCAATTGAGACTAGGCGTGGTGGTGTGTGCCTGTAATGCCAGCTCTTCAGAGGTTCTAAACAGGCGGGTCACTGAGTCCCATCTAGTAGTGAAACCCTGAACACCATGTAGGCCCTTCCCTAAAATACAAAAAAAAAAAAAAAAAAAAAAAAAAAAAAAAAAAAAAAAGAAAAAAGAAAGAAAGAAAGAAAAAAAGGGGGGCTAACATCAATGAAAGAGGAAAGGCAATTTCCAGCTGGATGAATGCTTTGCTTTAGAGTCCCCTCTCTCTCACTGAGTTTTGAACCCAGGGATATTTTACCACTGAGATATGTTCCCAGCCAGCCCTTTTATTTTGAGACAAGGTCTCAGTAAGCTGTGGAGGCTAGCTTTGATCTTGCGATCCTTCTGCTTCAGCTTTCCTGAGTAAGTAGGATTACTGGTTTGTATCACTGTGCCCAGTGAATGTTTTATTTTAAATTTTTTTATTATTTATTTTGCAGTACTGGGGATTAAAGCTAGGGGCTACCACTGAGATACATCAGTCTTTCTTTCTTTCTTTTTGTATTTTAGGGAAGGGTCTACAGGGTCTCACTACTAGATAAGACTCATAGTGATCTGCCTATTTACAGCCTCCCAAGAGCTGGGATTACAGGTGCGCACCACCATGCCCAGTCTCTCTCTCTTTTTTTTTTTCTTTGTACTGGGAACCAAACTCAGGACCTTGCGCTTACCAGGCAGGCACATGTGTCACTGAGCTATCTCCCTGGCTCCTTTATTTCGTATTTTGAGCTAGGGTCTCACTAAGTTTCCCAGGCTTACCTGAAACTTGCAATTTTAGGATTACAGGCCTGCACCACCATTCTTGGAAAATGCTGTTCTAAATTAGCAGATTCCAGTATTAGATGGGACTTTTTGTTCCACAGCAGTGACATGATACACAGTCTGGCTTCTTGTTTTTTCTATCTTATTTCTCCAATTTGCTATGTTGTAGTCTTTATGTCTCCATGCTTCTTCTCTATGCCACTGCATTTGCTGTTTCTCTTCTAGTTCCCTCTAGAAATCCTCTTAGATTTAAATGATTAATGATTAGATTTCTCATTAAATGATTAGATTTCTGTTAATATGACTCTGCTAAGAGGCCTTTCTTATCTATCCTAACTCAAAAGGAACCCTCACAGTTCCTTCATCCATTTATCTTGATTTGTTTTTCCATAGAGCCACATTATTGGACATTATCTATTATTTGGTAATAGGTGTGCACTGCTTGTTGTCAATCTCCCCCACTTCTATATGAACTCTATGAAGCAGACTTTCTTTGTCTGATACTGAATTCCTGGCACCTAGAACAGTGTCTGTCCATTAAATATTTGTTGACTGAATGAACAAATAGATTTTAGCATACATCAAATGTAACATACCCTATTGTTTATTGAAATGATGCATGGAAAATTCTTAACTGTTTATTGAACATGTTGGGAGACAATTTTCACATTAATTTTTGCTCATTAAAATTTTTCTTTTCCTCTTTTTAACAATGAACTTGTATTACACATACCAAAAAATGAATAGAGGGTCCACACGGTCTGGAAGTGCAAATGAATTCTAAAAGAGGTTAAGCAAAATTGATCAGAGACAGACTTCTGAGTTACATATAATAACATCATAGTTCAGCTAGATAGACCATGGCTTGAATCCCCTTTCTCAACACTTCCTAGCAGTTGACCCCAAATACATACATACATGTTTATATATCTACTCTTGGGAAATAAGGATAATACCGCCAATCTCATAAGGCTGTTTCATGAGACCATAGGTGTAACCTGCTTTGTACAATGCTAAGCATGCAGTAAGAACTCGACAAATGGTAGCTATGACAGTAATCACTACTAATAGTAAGAAGAGATGTTGGGACATACCTAGCCCTCAAGATTGATATCAGAGTGGACCACCACATCCTCTCATCATTGCACTTCCATTTGGGCATCTGAAGCCCAAGAAGGGGATGGTTCTTCCCAAAGGAGACACTGTCGACGTTCCAGGAGCCTGTCAACGAAATGTACTCTTCATCCCTGAAGTCTGGTTAATCCATGAGCGGCATTGCGTGGCCTGGACTGGAGAGGGGGCCGCGGCTCACTGTCCTCCGGCCCAGAGGCTCAAGCTTCGGTTCTTTCACAGGTAACGGGGCGGGAGTGAGAATGTTACAAGAAAAACCAGACTGTGGCAGCCGGGTCGGCCCCGCTGCCTTCCAGAGGGGACCAAACAGCGCCACCAACAGGAAGCCTCCGGCCGTGGGCCACACAACACTTGGGCAAAGTGATTACCAGTCAGACTCAACAGTCAGGCGAGCGGCTCGGCCCCAGCCTCCCAGACCCCACGCATCCGAACCTCCCCCGGCGACAGGCGGGGACCCGGGAAGGGGAGGAGGGACAGAGGAGCGACGGGCAGGCCGTCGAAAGCGATGACAGGGAGGGGGGAAAAGGAAGGGGCGGGGACGGAGGCGGTGGCTGCGCGTCCCGGGAGCGCGCACGTACTTGGGGAGCGAGCACGCAGGCCCCGGGGCAGCGTACGCAAGCCGAGGCAGCGCGTGGCCGTTTACGCCTAAGTGTTGCGGTAGGAGAAGCTGCGAGGTCATGCGCGGCGGGTGGGGGTGCAGCGCGAGCCCTTCTGGCAGGCCTGAGGGCAAGTAGAGTCTCGAGATGCTGGCTGCGGCGGCAGGAGAGTCGCGGCGGGCGGGCAGCGCTCGGCCACGAGGCGCCCTGAGGGGGGAGGGAGGCCGCCGCGCGCGCTCGCGGCCACGCCTGACCCTTCGGCCCCGCCTCCAGCCTGGCGGCCCCGCTGGCTCCTTTTCTCGGAGCGCGCGAGGACCCCGGTGACAGCCCCTGTGGGACGAGCCCTCGACTGGCACTGAACTCCTACGGAGCGGTTCTCGCTCCAGTTTAGAGCTGGGGCTTAGAGAATATCATGAAGTAAAGATTGGGACGTTGGCTGCAAAACTGCAAAGCCTGCACTTCTCTGCACCACGTGGAATCCAGTCCCGAGAAGTACAGTGCTTGCCTTCCTCCAGGAGGCAAGGCAATAACTTTGGAGTTTATCCTGTTTTATTTGTATCTGGTAGCCAACCTCGTGTGGATGTGAGTGTCACAGTACGGTCTTTGTGAAAAGAAAGGAGAAAGTCTGCTTATTGCAGCGTTGTGCCTGGACGTGGAGTGTTACCAGAGCGATGCATGCACACCCATGTTTATAGCAGCAGTTTGTAATAGCTAAATCTTAGAAACAGCCCAAGTGCCCATCAACTGATGAATGGTTAAAGCAGATTTTTTTTTTTTTTTTAATACAGGGGAGTACCACCCAGCCATAAAGAATAAGTTTGAGACATTTCTAGCTAATTTATCTCACTCTTAAGTGAAATAAATTAGGCACACGTTTAAATATCACATTGTTTCTCTGGTGTGAGATAATGAAAGTGCAAATAAAGACCGACATGTACAATAGATATTGTGAAATAGGAAGAAAATGTTCAAGTAGAGACGTAGCTGGGGGGAGAAGAGAAGAAAAAAAGGAACAGAAGGAAAAAATGGTAACAAAGCTTTTGTAAATGAGGGGAAGAGGGGTTGAAGGGACGGGAGAGGAGTGATAAAATTAAAATGCTTCATGTACAGGTATAAATTCCCTATGATGAGTGTACATATAAAATTAATTTTTAAAAAAAGACATGGAGGGCTGGCCAAATAGCTCAGTGGATTAAAGTGCCTGCTTAGGCAGATGCAGGGGCCAGGAGGGAGCTCCATCCCTGGGCCTGCCTGCTGGACTCCACTCTCCTCCCCTCCCCCACACGGTGATCTAGAGTGGGCATGGCATTGCAGGCTTGTAATCCCAGTACTTGGGAGGCTGTAAACAGGAGGATCACTTGGAGTCTGATCTACTAGTGAGAACCTGTAAACCCTGTAGAACCTGTCCTAAATACCAAAAAAAGTACAAAAATTAAAAAGACATGAAGTGTGTATCAGACTGTATTTGATGCCTCTTTAAACCACTGTTGAATTGGCTTAGATCCTCGATACCTGTAAAATATTGTGCAAATAGGCTTTTCTCTTTTTTGTAGGGTCTGGAAATATTGGAGATTGAATCTAGGGCTATTGCGTTGAGCTATTTCTTGAGACAAGGTCTCACTAAATTGCTGGAGTTTGGCTCTTTAATTTGATTTCACCTCATCTTGCATGCTGGGATTACGGCATAGGCCAGCCTACTGACCTGGGTGCATTTATCAGTCTGAACCTCCTTTGCTTTGGAAATGCAGCATACCTTAGAAGGTTGAGAGGATTTAAAGAGATAATCCAAATTGAATGAATGTTGATCATTATTTTATCACTCAGTGTATGATATACCTGTGCTAAACTCATTTTTGTTTAAACCAACTTTTCCTGGGTCTCTGTAGAGGGAGACTTACCCCACCCTCAAAAAGAAAAGTTGACAGCATTATTTTCTTGAGCATTGTATACATTTGATGGACTATTTTTCAAGCTACAAATGCCAGTATGAAAAAAAGTCATTCAGGGAAAACTAATGATAAAGTTAGCACTGACGTTTGTCCAGTTCTTTTAATATGTTCAATGAGTTTTTCGAGGTCTGCTTGATACTTTCACGTGGGAAAAATACACATGCAGAAGTAATCTTCACAAACCATCATGTGAAAAATTTCAGAAAAGAGCTAAGTTATATGACTGTACAATTAAAGAAATTTTGGGCCTATAGAAGAAAGGTTTAGTGTAAGATACGATTTCATTCTTCCTTCAAGAAGATACTCGGTACATTTGTTAAAATTAAATTAGTAAACAGATGTATGTTGAAATAGATAGGATTTCTTGGTTTTTTTGAGCAGGAATTCACTCAGGATAAAGTTTTGTTGAAAAGATAAATGAAATCTCAACAGCCAAAGCTCATGGACCAAATTCTTGGACTAATGAATGACTGAACTCCAACTGCTTGCTGCCTGGGCTAAGTGTGGTAGTCAGGCCTGTAATCCTAGTGCTCAGGAGGCTGAGGCAGAAGGATTGCCTTGAATCCAGCCTGGATTATATAGTGAGTTCAAAGCCAGTTTGAATTACACAACAAGGCTCTGTCTAAAAAAAAAAAAAAAAGAAAAGAAAATCCAGATTTCTGTAAGAAAAAAAGTGCTGATAGTTGGGGTTTGGTATGCAATTGGCAGCCCCACCAATACCATAAGAATGGAATGATCAGTTCCTCAAAAAATAAGAGCTAAAAAGAAAAGTAATGCTAGGCAGAGAAAGGTAGTAGTTGTTCATTAGAAATATATAAGATTTATAGAGGACTACTGGCTGTATCATATGAATTTTGATATTTGATTATTGACATTTAGTTCTCATAACTCTAGATAGGAACTATTATACCCATTTTACAAACTGAATATGTTATTTATTTTCTTGTCCCTTTGAATGTTTGTCTGATCCGTGTGCCATTTTTGTCTGTTCACAGGGAGTTATCAAGCACTGTTGTAGGTGTTGGCTGGCTCTGGCTTTTGAAGAGGTTGTGCGCTGAGGAAGATCAAAGCAGCAACCTTTGCCCGTTAGGGAATGGACCGTTTGGGCTCCTTTAGCAGTAAGTACAATGGGAACAAGTCTCAGGTAAATATTAATAGCAAACTGAAGTAGAGGTTGGTTGAGGAAGAAAAATAAACCCTTTTAAGTTAAGTAATAATGGCCAATCAGTCAGAGTCTAAGGGAATTAGGAGTTTCAGATCAAAATAAAGTGAACCTGGGGTGGTGAGATGGCTCAGCGGTCTAAAGCACCTACTTAGAACAAGCTTAGCAAAGCACAGGGACCGCGGTTCAATCCCCCAGCACCACATGCCAGCCAGCCCTGCCCCCTGGTGGGCTGAGCTGACCACACACACACAAATAAATACATAAATAAAAAAAATAAAAATTAAAAAAAAAAGTGAACCTGTAGCTATTGACTGCATATAACACATGCACGTATGACACAAATATATTAATTACCCTAGGTCTTAGAAAAAAACAAAGTTAAATGGATCAGGCATGGTAGGATTTGTCCATAGTTAAGCTTTAAAAAAGGAGTGGGAAGGGCTGGTCAGATAGCTCAGCAAACTAAAGTGCCTGCTTAGGCAGAAGGCAGTGGCTGGGGTTTGATCTCCAGTGTGCCAATGCTAGCCCTGTCCCTGGGGCACCCAGAGATGGCAACTGAGACTGGGCATAGTGGTGCGTGCCTGTAATCCCAGCTCTTGGGAGGCTGAAAACAGGTGAATCACTACGAGTCTGATCTGCATAGTTAAGACCCTGTAGCCCCTGTCCTAAATACAAAAAATAAATTAAAAGGTATGGCGTTAGATAAGAACAACTTCTCATGTTTTATAGCGTAGTAGGATGCCTATGGTTGACAGTAATTAATTGCATATTTCAAAATAGGGAAGATTTTGATATTTCCAACACAAAGAAGTGATAAATTTCTCAGGGTTTTTTTTTTTTTTTTTTTTTTTTTTTTGTATTTTAGGGAATGATCTACAAGGTGTTCAGGGTCTCACTACTAGATCGGACTCATAGTGATCTGCCTGTTTATAGCCTGCCAAGAGCTGGGATTACAGGGGCATGCCACCATGCCCAGTCTCAGTTGTTAGCATGGCAATCTGAGCATCGAACCCCTGGTTCCTTTGCCTGCTTGCAGGCACTTTAAAATCCTCTGAGCTATTTGGCCAGCCCTGAAATGATAATCCCCCCCCCTCCCCCCAGAACCAGGGATTGAACTCAGATCCTTGCATTTGCCAGTCAAGCGCTTATCCTACTGAACCATCTCCCTGGCCCTGAAATGATAAATTTTTGAGATGATAGATACACCACTTGTCCTGATTTAATTGCTACACATTGTATGCATTTATTGAAATGTTACACTGTACCTCATAAATATAAGACTGTGTCAAAATAAACATGTATTTAAAAAATAAAATATTTTTGTTTAATTAAAAAGAACTTCTGTTTAGAACGAATAATATGTTTTTCCTTTGTAAGTGGCTCTATTATTCCAGGAATAAACTATAGTAAAAATAATAATACAGAGAATTATGGTATACGATGTGTGTGAAGTAAATTTAGTTACAACTATGAAATTCTTTTGGGATTTTGTTTCTTTAGCAGTAGTTTGGTTTGTTTGTTTGGTATTTTAGGGAAGGGTCTACAGGTGTTCAGGGTCTCACGTCTAGATAACTCATAGTGGTCTGCCTGTTTACAGCCTCCCAAGTGTTGGGATTACAGGTGTGTGCCACCAGCCCAATCTCAATTGCTGTCTCAGCACGCCCCAGGGGTGGAGCTGTCTCCACCAGCCCCAGGGAATTGAACCCCCAACCTCTGCGCTTTGCTTGCAGGCACACTAATCCCCTGAGCTATTTGGGTGGCCCTTTAACAGTAGTTTTGTTTCTTCTGTTTTTTGAGTTCTGTCTCTCTATGTAGTCCATGCTAGCCTTGTTCTAACTATGTAGCTCAAGCTGGCCTTTAACTGTTTTTTTTGTTTTGTTTTGTTTTTTGGCAGGGGGTGTTAAATCTTGATCTTCCTGCATCAGCCAACCAAGTTCTGAAATTACAGGCCTCTGCCACCATACTGGGCTGTTTCAGCAATTTGGTTTTTTTTTTCCCCTTCCACTTTGGTTTGGGGGATTGAATGCAGGGTCTTTACACTAAGCTATGTCTCTAGCCTTTTTTTTTTTTTATTTTTTCCTTCCAGTTTTTTAAACAGGGTCTTACTATGTAGTTCAGGCTGGCCTTAAACTCACTATATAGGACACGCTGGCCTTGTACTTGCTAGGATCCTTGTGCCTCAGCTCCCCAAGTGCTGGGATTACAGGTGTGTGCCACCACATGCAGTAGCTCTTTGTTTTTTTATTTCAAGATGGTCTCATTAAGTTGTCGCAGCTGGGCTTAAGCTTTGCCATCCCTCTCCCTCAGCTTCCCAGAGTGCTGAGGTGGTAGGTATGTAACACATCGAGCTCTTCAGCATAAAGGAGCTGTAATGTATTCTTTTACCATACTCCTTATAAATTTAAAACAGGGTGGAACCTTCAGACACAATTCAGACCTTTTGTTTTATTTGTGTAGAATCTGAATTGCTTCGATGCAAGGATCATAATGAATTCCTTTCCCTCCTCAGGATTTGTAGCTCAGTGATATGGCACTGTGCCTGGCTTATTAAAGGTCCTGGGTTTGATCTCCGCACCACACACACACACAAATACATGTTTAAAAAAATTGTTAAATTTAATTGGAAATTTTTTAAATGTATAGGGAATTGCAGGACTAAGAATACAAGCAGTGGGCTGGTGAGATGGCTCAGTGGTCTAAAGCACCTACTTAGAACAAGCTTAGCAAAGCACATGGACCAAGGTTCAATCCCCCAGCACCACATGCCAGCCAGCCCCGCCCCCTGGTGGGCTGAACTGGCCACACACACACAAGAATACAAGCGGTATTCATACATCTTTTATATGACTTCCAGTTTTTCCCTTCCATATAATAAACAACTCATGGAGAGAAAATTTCAGGTTAAAAAATGCTGTATTTCATCAGAATTTCTGCCTTGATTTAGTGTCTCTTTTTTTGAGACAGCATCTCACCATGCATTCCAGGCTGGCTTTGAACTCACTATGTAGCCTTGGCTGGCATGGCGTTCGCTTGGTCCTCATGCCTCAGCCTTCTCAGTGTTGAGACTGCAGAGGTGTGCACCTCCAGCAAATGTTTTATTCTGGCTTTTGTTTTGTTTTGTTGTGGTTTAGAGTTTTGAGACAGCGTCTCACTATATAGTTCAGGCTGGCCTTCAACGGTAATCCTGCTGAAATTTCAGCCTGCTGAAAAGTCTGATTCTTGAGGAACAAAAACATCTTCATTCTTTTTGTGGATAAAGTATACGTACAGACATAAACAGATTTATGATACATCCATGGTATTAAAACTCCATAAAGAAAGGCAATTGTTTAAAAAGGTGTGAGCTGCCTGGCTTAGTGGCACATGCCTATAATCCTAGCACTCCAGAGGCTGAGATAGGAGGATTGCTGTGAGTTTGAGGCCAGCCTGGGCTACATAGTTGAGTTTAAGACCAGCCTGAACTGAACTACATACAAAACCCTGGTCCATGGTGGACTTGAACTTGAGATCATTGTGCCTCAGCTTTCAGAGTGCCAGGGTTACAGACAGGCACTGCACATGTGGCTTTACCATTCTTTATAATAAAACTGGAAATGACATAAATATATGAACACCTGCAAGTTGATAACTGGTTTCCCTTGTATATATTAAGCAACTTCATGGAGATAAAATTCAGGTTAAAAAATGCTATGAGACCTAATGATTTATAATTTTTTATAATATCTTAAAAGTTTCTTTTCTTTTTTTAGTAAGGGTCTGCAGGGTCTCAGGGTCTCACTATGTAGATTGCATTTGTAGTAATCCACCTGTCTTCAGGATCCCAAAGAGCTGGGATTGCAGGTATGCTCTACCATGCCCAGTCTTAATCGCTGGCCCACCAGGAATTGAACCACAGCCCCTGCGTCAATTAAAAATTTTTTTACTGAGAATGAGATACATAGATAATATATATACATGTTTTCAAAAAAAAAATGGCCTGCCTAACTGTAATAAAAGGTAAATAATTTATAGTGAAGTATCGCTACTTGTAACCATCTTGGCATGTGTAGACAGAATTATGATAAATAACATGATGACTGAAGCAATCAGGTGCTTACATCCATGTATTGAATCACTGAACCACAGAACATCTCACAACTACAAATGTAAGATGATTTATGTGTATTATATGAGTGACTAAGAACTGTCTCAAACCTGAGCAGTTCTTAGTAAAGTTCTGAACAAAACAAAATCTGCAAAGTGTGGTGGCTATAATCTCAGCAGTTAAGGAAGCTGAGGCAGAAGATCACAAATTGGAGCCCAACATGGGCATTTTCGGGAGAACCAAAAATTAAAAAAGGATTGTGAGAGCTGTGGGTTCAATCCTTAGTACTAAAGAATGGAAGGGGGCTGGTGAGATGGCTCAGTGGTCTAAAGCACCTACTTGGAACAAGCTTAGCAAAACACATGGACCA